GGCTGGGACAAAAAAAAAAAACCCACAAAACACCTCTGGGGTGATGGGAGAGAGCTGGGCAGGAGCGCGGGTGCTGTGTGGGCTGTCAGGGTGGCACCGTGCCCGCTGATACTCACAAGGGGGTGAAGTCTGGTCTGCTTGTCCTCCTGGAAGAGCATCCCCGGCGTGGCCGCCCACACCAAGCTGGCAGGGCCATCACGCCCATTGTCCGCCCCGCTCCTCTGCTGTGTTCCCTGCTCCCTGCAGCCCGAGCGAGGGCTGGAAGTGGCCCCTTTGGGCTCGGGTGGTGCTGGGAGTGGTCCAGAGGGTCCAGCACCCTCCAGGTGTGCTGTCCCAGCAATGTCTTCTCCCAGGGCAGTCCTCAAGGTGGTCGTGTCTTGCCTCCCAGCCCAGGTGCTGGCCAGGGTGCCTTGGATCCCCATCCCTGAAGGAGACTGCAGAGGACCCAACAGTGCCTCTGCTCCAGCGTCCTCTGGTGCTCCTTCCTTCTCGGCAGCAGCAAGGGGCTCCTTGGAAAGGGAGAGAGGTTTCGGTGTGGGTTGGCTCCTGGGCAGGTCCGCAGCTAGTGGGAACACACCCCGGCACGTCCCAGATCCAACCGACACCACTTTCAGGGCAGGCTCCGATATCAGGATACTACGCTGCTCCTGAACTCCTTATGGATTTGTACCAGGGAAAAGTTTCCCACCAGTCACTTCTTTGCTTTCTGCACATCTAATTTTGATCTCTTTGCACCTCCACAGCATCCCGTGGCTCACACCAGCACCTCTCCCAGGCAGCTCCCGTCATCTGGACTAAGATGCCCAAGTTCCTCCTCCAGGACTAGCCTATAGGTCCTTTGGAGGCAAAAGCTCTGGCCTTTTTGATGCCCATCCCTTGACTACCCCCCACCCCATGTTATCAACTGCTGCAACAGGGAACATGGTCGCAGGCTGGAGAGGGAGCAATGACAAATTGAGGTTAAAAACAGGAGAATTGGGTCCTGGGGCTGAGATGGCTGCAAAGGGCTCTGCAGCAATCCCAGCACCTCTTGCTGTGCTGCCCGGCAAGCAGACAGAAAGCCAGGGTAAAAATCCCACCACCACCTTCCTCAGCCCCTCGTCAGCCTGTTAATAAATGTATTAAATAGCTCCAAGGTGTCAGAGCTCACAGCAGCCCTTGGACAGGCTTTCCCCAGTCTGAGCACCAGTGACTTAATCGTTTTCTTGGGATCCACGTCAGCTTCTGCCTCTCCCCATGGGGCTACTTGATTTCCTACAGCAGTCTCGCATGCAAGGTATAGACCTCATTTGGACATCGGTTACGTTTCCGAGGGAGGTAAGATAACATTGAGCTCGGTGCAGGGACGCGGCCAGGTTCCCTCCTGCTGATGCAACTTTCGGGCAGCTCAAGTGCTCAGCAAATACCGAGACTACGCAGAGGCGCTGCATCTGCCAAGCCCGGCTGGCAGGGTCCCTGCTCCGCCTCCCCAGGGACATCTCGGGACAAACCACGTCTGGGAGACACCACCCCTGGTCCTGGAGCCTGTGGCTCTGCCTCCATCAGGGCCTGCCCATGGACCCTGTGTCAGGCAAAGCTTGCGGTGATGATGCCCTCACCTTCTCAGGCAGCTTGGCCATCTCCTGAGCTCTCTGTCTGTCCGGGGACATCTCCATGGGCTCGCTGCTTACTCCTGTTCTTCCTCCAGGTGACTCCTGTGGTATAACTCCACCTCACCCATCCATCCTTACCTCCTTCCAGGGAGCTGGAGTGTGGAGAGGCTCTGAAATAACCCCCCCCGCCCAAGGTTTGGCTGCACAGTGGCTGCAAATTTGGCACAGCCAGAGGAAAGGGCACTTGTCAGGCTGAGAAATGGGTCCCAGAGCCCTTTTTCAGTTCCAGTAAAGCTCCTGTGAAACTCAGGCAAGCCCAGCACAGCCCCAGTTAACTCCAGCTGCAATCAGACTCCCTCCCCATCTGCCTGCACACCGTGCTGGGCACGGACATTTGCCCTCAGATGGGGTTTTGTCACCGTCCCCGAAACAGGGGGGATGTTCCTGGGTGGCAGCTGGTTCATCTCCGGCTCCATGGGTCTGGATTTGAGCCAACACTGAAACCGTGTGCACCGAAAGCTTTTGCAGGAGTGGGAAGGGGGCCCCGGGAAAAACCCTCCCTCTGGCCCTGGCAGGCAGGATGGTGCTCGGGGACGGCCGCTGGGCTCACCCACACCACTGCAGAGCTGTTCCGAGCCCCCCGCCAGGCCTTGGGGGTCTCTCCAACCCTCTCATTGCTCCCACTGCCCCGAGGGAGCCCCCCGGGGACCCCACCACTCACCGTCGCAATGGTCCCCGCTTCTGTTTGCATCTGGCTGCCGTTCCCAGGCAACGGCTGCACCGGCTGCGCCAACGGCTGCGCCAACGGCTGCACCGGCCGCCACCAGCGACAGCCCGGGAAGCACTGGGGAGGGGAGGGGGCTGTACTGGGAGAGAAGGGGGGACCCTCCTCATCCCCACCAGCTGCCATGCAGAGGCAGTGGTGTCCCCCTGCCCAAAGCAGGAATCTGGTGGGATGGGCAACGTTTAGCCCTTCACCCTGCCTGAGCTTAAATCCTGCTCGGAGCTGTGACAAAGCCCCTCTTGGCATGGCCAGACCCCTTCGGGACCAAACCCTCACCCTGCCCGGGGAACAGGACAAGGGATCTTTACCCGACGCCTTCCCCCCATGGGGCTGGAGGCAGCTTCTGCTCCCTTGGCACCCCTGAGCAGGACATGCAGAGTTAAAGGGAGAAAAATCAGCCTCCCGGCGCTGCCGGATCCCGCTGCCGGTTCCCCCCTCTCTCCGCCAGGATGGCACTTGCACAGGGGACCCCAGGGATCACTCCAAGCTATCGCCTTCGCAGATAATCAGCTCTAAGCCCTCCCAACTTTATTTCAGCCTTGCTGTTAAGCTCAAATAATACCGATTTCTAAATTTAATTTGTTTTTCTTTCTGCCCAGCGGGAGCCTCGTACCCTGCTGGGAGAGGAAAGGAGTTTTGTTATCAGCTCACATTATCTCCCCCACCTGCAGCGGCTGCGGCGCAGGGGCCGAGCGGCAAAACGCCGCTGCTCTCAACTCCTCGCCCGTGGCACAAGCCGCTGTTTCAAATGGGGGGAATTTTGTGGCCTCAGGAGTGAGGATTTGGTCCTTAAGCCCCATCTCTGCTGGGTGCAAGGGGGCAGCCTTGTTCAGCGCATCCGCACCTGTACATCAAGCTTGCTCAGACATGGTGCTTTTCCTCCTACCCAGCAGCATCCAGTCCACATTCCCTGATCGTACAGGGAGACATCTCTTGCTCTCCAGCATGAAAATCCCGTTTATTCCAACTAAGAGCAGCTCCTTTTCTGCTCAGGTCCTCCGGCAGAGATTTGAGCGCAGTCTAAGGAAGAAGCTCAAACCTTACCTATCCACAGCAGGTTTTGCAACATTAATCTGTGCTAATTACACTTGTTGGGATCATTCAACCTGTCCTAGTCAGGACACGCAACCAGAGGGGCTTGGGTTAGGTCACAGGGTTAGGGGACGCGCTTCTACAAAAGCCTCGCAGAGCTGAGTGCCCTCTGAAGCGTGCACACGCCCTCCACGCCAAAAGGGGAACGAGCTCCCCGAGAGCAGGGATTACTGGGCTGTCAGCACTGGACCGACCCCCTAAACTCACTTCAGGAGCAGTACAGAGAGTTGGGATTTTCTCATTCATTTCATCCCGGGAGGCACAAACGTGAAGGCCCGGAAGGATGCGCCCCCGTGAGCTTTTCTTCTCCTGGCCTGGTGTCTAGACCCAGATTCATCCGCAGCTCGGGATGGCAGTGCTAGGTTAATGCTAGGTTAACGGTTGGATGTGATGATCTTAAAGGTCTTTTCCAACCTAGACGATTCTATGAAAGGCTATCCATGGCTGGGATACCCAGACACACAGCCCAAGTACGCATAGTCGGACATTTCAGCTGCCAATCGATACCCAGTTTATCCCCCTTACTTACACCTGCATTCCATTTTATAGGGACAGAAGATAGGGACGGCTTGTGGACAGCCACGTTTAGAAACTGCAGCAGCACCTAAAAATAGGAAAAGCCTTTTTGCAAAAAAATAAGGCTCCCAAACCTGGTACAACATGCATTTAAAAGTCTTTGTTTTACACAAATCGTTTGACACAGTGGCCCTAGGCAGGGAGTCAGGCCTCCCACGGAACAACCCCGCAGGGGCACTTACCTTGTAACTACAGGCGGGGACGTCACGCTGCTTTCCAGTGGGATTTCACAGTGGATTTGGGAGATGCAGCGGCCTTTGTGGGTCGCCTTTTGAGGGTCAGCAGCACAGGCTTAGCCTCAGAGCTGCTCTGGTAAAGCAAGGCAGGATGCAGATGTGCCAGTGAGTCCCCAAACACTTCCCATTCTCAGTTATTCTTCAAGAAAAGAGACGGAGCAAACCAGCGCCACGCTCCTGCCCTTTTAAAATTACTTGAAAGACCAGGGTGAGTCTGCATTTGATGGGGGATTAGCCAGATACAATCTCATCCGAGGAGCACTGCCACGGGCTGCTGCAGCCACGCTTCCTCCGAAGCGCCGAGAAGGCTGCAGGAGGCACCGAGCAGGGAGCTTTGCTTTCAAGCTTTACCCCTTCAGTGAGAATCTGCTCCACTGTGCACTGAAACACAAACGCCTGAAATACCACAAGGGTCAACTCCCTCAGTTTAACACAGAGCCCTGGGTCAATGATTTAGAAGTGAGGGGTTTAGCCCACTTTTTCAGTCTGTTTCAGGTCTGGTTATTAATTTTTTTTTAGCAAAATCACTCACTGCACGTGATGTGGTACTTACACGCGCAACCTGCTTCCGAAGCGCTGAAGAAAGATGTGCACCTCACCCAGGATTCGGCTCTGGACAGTCCAGGGGCCGTGCTTTTGTGTCTCTGTGCAGGACTGTTTTTAACCCACCCAGCTGGGCCCACAACTATCGCCCAGAATAACAGCTTCTACAAGAACGGAGAGAGGCGCTACTCAAGTTTTATTGATTTGGGGAGAGTATTTTGAAGTTCAACTGGAAACAACCTTACCACAAACCAATCATCCCCAAAATCCCCTCAAAGAGTTTATAACACCCTGAAAACAACTGCTGCAAATAAAAAAAAATAAAAAAATAAAAGCAGCAGTATTTTTATCAGGAGTACATGAACTACTGGAAGTAAATCAAGGTAGAATTATAAACCTTATTCCTTATCTCGTTAACTTAAAATAACGAGGCATTCCAAAGAGTCTTTCATCACGTTTAGCGACTTCGAAAGTTGTGGTAACATGGGGAAGATAAAGTGCCAAACTTGCGTATTTCTTGACTGCAATCTACTGTTACAGACACCAAAGAGCTCCGGGACTGTTTAATATGTACTACAAGATGTTCCGTGAGGAATTTTATGGGGCGCAGTGGGGAAGAATGCTCTGTTATTATCAAGTAGGAGTATTTCATGCTTTTAAGAGCCTGTACCAAGTGAAGTTTGGGTCTCTCCGTAGCCTCGTTCCAAACCAACACAAGATTTAGGAGACGAGAAGCCACACCTTGCAACTCCGCAAGCTCCTCCTGATGAACCCAGGCAATTCTGAATTGCAGGCAGGGCCTGCTCTATCAGAACCTCTTCAGACTCTGTCAGTCAGGCACCTAGAGAAGCCTCCAAAACATTTGTTTCAGCAAAAACACGTAGGGAAGTTTTCAAATCAGGTCAGAGTCCAGAAAGCAGGCACAAACTTCAGCTTTATTGTTCGCCAAGCGATGGTCATCTTTGCAAGGGAATGATATTGCAGCTGAAAAAGAAGAGGATAGAAGGAAACTGTTAAAGTCTCAGTTTTTAAACAGGCACAGAAGATCTGACGTGGCATGTCTCAGACCCACCACAACCCTCCTCCACTGATTTCCTCTCCCAGACAGACTAGCCACGGAGATCTTCCTCCCTGCCATCACGTTGGATACAACTCGCCTCCCCATAGCACTGTGCAAAACTGTCAGCTCCCAGCTGGTACCCACCAGTGAAGTCCACCAGAGCGGGCAGCAACACACACCGAGAGCAAAGCACAGAGCTGGCCCTGCTGCAGGGAACGTGCTCCGAGCTGGGAAAAAGCCTCATCCGTTCTAATAAATTAAGTATCTGCTTACCCCAGGAGGCCCTTCCCAGCCCAGCGCTTCGGAGTCAGCCCCATGTGCACTTTTTTGCCGCTGCGGATCACAGTCACGCTGAGGGGTCTCTGAAAGGAATTAAGAAAAAAATAGAAGAAAAAAAAAAAAAACAAACCAGTCAGCCACTTTCCATCACCAAGCCAACTCTCTTCTTCCTTCTTTTGCTGAAGCACCAGAAGAACATCAGGCCCGGGGTAGCTGTTTTTCAGCAGTGCCCATTCCCATCCCTGCGGCTAAATCGGAGAGAAGAGCGCATTTTCTGTGGAGACATCTCCAGGAGATCTCTCACTTCCACCACAGAGCACTTGATGGCTGCGGCAGCTTTTTTGGCCAGCCCACAAGGGTGGCACAGCAACGCAGCCCGCTGCTGCAGGGAGTCCCTGGGGAAAACAAACGATACGGTGCTCACAGCAAAGAGCACGCACCTCTTCACTCCCTTCTATTCCGCAGGAATTAGCTCAGTGCTGTGAGAGAACAAGGCTGCAAAAGCACAGACCGAATCCGACGCTGTTTCTGACATGGAAATGATGATCCCAGAGATCGAAGTACCATAGAAAAAGCTGTAGATAACAGAGACAGGCAAGAGAATGCAGTTACAGCAGAAATGAGCTCACCCCTTCGCTGTGCTGCACCACTGTGGCGATGTTCTGCAGGTTCTGGAAGTTGTTTACATTGACAGAACCAAACTCCACAATCTCATCATCGACCTGAAGTCCCTGAACAGAGATAGAAGAGAGATGGGCATCTGCCTTCTCCACAGACGGGAAATACCACAGGAGCATCACGCTCCACCCAGCCACACGGGAGGAGGTGTGCTATGACACTGCTCTTCTGTTCAGGCAACCGAACTACTTTACACCCTCTGCATGTCCTCGGAAAGAAGTAAGTACTCATCCCTCTGTCCTGCTTTAGGGGGAAGGGAAATACGGAGGCTCGAGTGAGGCCCTGCAGGAGCTGTGTGGCGCAAGGATACAGCTGGGAAGAGAGCACTCGCCTCATTGCCACACAGTGACTGGTCTATTCACGGGACATCCCAGTGTGACAAAAAAAGAGGGGTCTGGGGAGGAAACCCTAATCAACCCCCCAGCTTATTCCAACTTATTAGCAAGAGACAGAGAAAGCCATCTGCTATGTTTTCTCTCTGGGCCCAGAAGCCTTCCCACGAGCTGTCAGCCCCCAGCAACCTACCGAGATACTCGCAGGAGATCCTGAAGTCACGGCGTTCACTTTGGCAAAGGCCTGTGGCAGGCTCTGGTTCTGGCTCATCGCCTCGGCCAGCGCCTCCGCCTCATCCTTGGCATGCTTCTCCTTCTCCCGGGCGTGCAACTGGTGAAGAGCTTCCTCCACCTGCTTCATCAGGGCCTTGTGATCGTTCTGCAAACCTGTGGGTGACACCATTAGCACACAGGGAGCAGGACCAAGTTCCGTCCAAGGGTTCTTTCTCAGCCCATGTTCTCCTTTGCAGCCATGCAGAAAATGGTGTCCTGGGCATCTCGGATCCTGCAGGGGAGCAATGGGGGGTAAGGCAGGGGTCCTGCAGGGGAGCAATGGGGGGGGGTGGGTGAGGCAGGGGTCCTGCAGGGGAGCA